TGTAGACACTTGCTAGCTAAAGACAACTAATAAGAAAATACAATACACAGTATGTTAGATGGGGAGAAATACAGCAGAGAATGGGCTAGGAACTATTTATTAATTCTCTTTTATAAATGGGGACATTGAATCTTGGAGAAAGTCACTTTCAAGTGGCAAAGGCTAGATTTCCCCTGGGTGTCTCCATCTGGATGCTTTCCTATCTCTGGACCCCTCTGGAAGGGCTGAGTGACATGGCCCAGGCATGGGACTGTATTTTATAGGCAGTGGAAAAACACATTTCTCTGACTGTGAATATGGAGTCAGTGTCCTGATACCAGGGGTACAACTAGGTCTTTCGTAGACATGGAGACAGCGGACAGGCATGACCCGGCAATTACAGGGCATCTAGTGGCTGCATTATAATAATTTTTTTAAATATATATTTATTGATTTCAGAGAGGAAGGGAAAGGGAGAGAAAGAGAGAGAAACATCAATGATGAGAAAGAATCATCAATTGTCTGCCTCCTTGACACCCCACACTGGGGATGGAGCCCACAACCCGGGCATGTGCCCTGATCTGGAATCAGATGGTGATCTCCTGGATCATGTGTAAATGCTCAGCCACTGAGCCAAGCCAGCCAGGCGGCCCCAGCATGTTTCAGTTTCGTTTTCACTGAAGAGCTCCATCCTGTCTTGGCTTCCTCACCCTGTGTATATTTCTAGTGCAACCCTGAATAAGTTACTGCTGCCTTGCGGACAGACCATGACTGCAATAATGGCCCCAGAGAAGTCCAGTCCTGGGCTGAGGTGCTGGCTGATCCTGACCTTCACAGTGTTCCTGCAGTGTGTCTGCGTGGCCATGGCCTCCATGCACTTCACCAGTGAGTTGCAGCAGGTCAGTATAACGCATATGGACTCACAGCAGCTGTCAGCACCCTCATGCTAACTGTCTCTCCTTTGCCTCTCTACTTGCTCCTCTTTGAAAACTTTATAGTGAATGTTTCCTTTCGCTGCCTGAGAGATGTTTTGGTTTTATTTCTGTTGCATTTGTGTGTTGATAATAGTGAGACTACAAAGGACTAGCATTCTGCCTAAGTCTGTAATGCAGTGGTTACAAGCTGAGCTCACATTTTACTGCTCATCCTAAAATAATTGAAAATAAAACTGCCATTCTATGCCTGTGGATGGTTCAGGTACAAATCCAGCTGCATTTGACAGAGAGAAAAAACAACAACAACAGTGCCATTTTAATTTGTGTATTTCTCAACTATATAAAACATTTGGAACTATAAATGCAAAATTGATAAAAAATAAACCAACTCAACTTCTTACCTTCTTATATATATTCTGACTAATTGTACATTATCAAAAACTATGAGTTGGAAGGAACTTTGAACACCCACATTTTATAGATGAGATTAAAGACTAGGATGGGTTACAGAAATGATTGTCAGAGACTAATGTCGGGGTGCTGGAAGCCGATCCACCGTTGCTGCTTGACACAGTCGCTGCAGGGATGTTTCAAGGGACCTGGCGTATATGGCATACTGTTCTTCATATGTTTGCTCCCACTCTTAACGCTATGTGTTTTAAACAGGACCGCCTCTCTGAGGAAGGTTGTTTTCCCAGGTCAGTAATTTTTTAAAAAACCAAAAAAACACCTGCCAGTGACCAACTTAATTTAGGGATCAAAGGCAGCATACCAGTACAGGGACAACCTGGAATCATGTGCACTAGAAACACACACCCTTACCCTCACGGTATTCCTACCAAAAATGTTTCATTTGCATCTGTGAGAACATAACCAGAAATCCAGAACATGGGCATTTAAAAAGACACCAGGGCTGAAACCGGTTTGGCTCAGTGGATGGAGCGTCGGCTTGCGGACTGAGGGGTCCCGGGTTCGATTCCGGTCAAGGGCATGTGCCTGGGTTGCGGGCACGTCCCCGGTGGGGGATGTGCGGGAGGCAGCTGATCGATGTCTCTCTCTCATCGATGTTTCTGACTCTCTGTCTCTCTCCCTTCCTCTCTGTGGAGAATCAATAAAATATATATTTAAAAAAAGAAAAAGACACCAGGCCTGGTTCATGTTACAAGAAACATTAAAAAAACAAAAACGAAGGACTGTTTCACATTTAAGATAACATAGCAACTAATCACAAGGAGTGAGCCTCAATTGGACCCTGATTTTGGGTGGGGGGTGGGGGGACATTAGAAGATACTTTTTGACAATTGGGGAAATTTGAATATGACATAGATACTAAATGGTATGATAGAGTTCATGTTAATTTTCCTGGTTCAATAATGGTCCTTTGAGTCTCTCCCCGGATTCCACTCCTCAGCACCCTCTCCCTCTCTTCAGCACAGCTCACAGCCAGTTGGCCTGGAGGTCAAATCCCCGCCAGTATTACCTACAACAATCTAGGCTTAACTACAACAAGACTGCGCATAAAGACCACTAGGGGTTGCACCAAGACAGCATAAAAAATGCAGAGACAAAGAAACAGGACGAAGATGTCAGAAATGGAAGATATAGAGCTCAAAACCACACTTTTAAGGTCTTTCAATAATTTTCTAAAAACTGCCGATAAATGTAGTGAGACCCTCAAGAAATCTAATGAGACCCTTGATGTTGTGATAAAGAACCAATTAGAAATTAAGCATACACTGACTGAAATAAAGAATATTATACAGACACCCAATAGCAGACCAGAGGAGCGCAAGAATCAAGGCAAAGAATTGAAATGTGAAGAAGCAAAAAACAGCCAACCGGAAAAGCAAAATGAAAAAAGAATCCGAAAATATGAAGATAGTGTAAGGAGCCTCTGGGACAGCTTCAAGCGTACCAACATCAGAATTATAGGGGTGCCAGAAGATGAGAGAGAGCAAGATATTGAAAACCTATTTGAAGAAATAATGACAGAAAACTTCCCCTACCTGTTGAAAGAAATAGACTTACAGGTCCAAGAAGTGCAGAGAACCCCAAACAAAAGGAACCCAAAGAGGACCACACCAAGACACATCATAATTAAAATGCCAAGAGCAAAAGACAAAGAGAGAATCTTAAAAGCAGCAAGAGAAAGAAACTCAGTTACCTACAAGGGAATACCCATACGACTGTCAGCTGATTTCTCCACAGAAACTTTGCAGGCCAGCAGGGAGTGGCAAGAAATATTCAAAGGGATGAATGCCAAGAACCTACAACCAAGATTACTTTATCCAGCAAAGCTATCATTCAGAAGTGAAGGTCAGATAAAGAGCTTCACAGATAAGGAAAAGCTAAAGGAGTTCATCACCACCAAACCAGTATTATATGAAATGCTGAAAGGTATCCTTTAAGAAGAGGAAGAGGAAGAAAAAGGTAAAGATACAAAGTATGAACAACAAATACACATCTATCAACAAGTGAATCCAAGAATCAAGTGAATAAATAATCTGATGAACAGAATGAACTGGTGATTATAATAGAATCAGGGACATAGAAAGGGAATGGACTGACTATTCTTGGGGGTAAAGGGGTGTGGGAGATGCGGGAAGAGACTGGACAAAAATCGTGCAGCTATGGATGAGGACAGTGGGTGGGGAGTGAGGGCGGAGGGCGGGGCGGGAACTGGGAGGAGGGGGGTTATACGGGGGGGGAAAGAGGGACAAATGTAATAATCTGCACAATAAAGATTTAATTTAAAAAAAATAAAATAATGGTCCTTTGGCTTATACACAAATATTTTTCTTCTTGGGAAATGTCGATTGAGGTTCTAGGAGTGAAGTGTGACAATGTCTGCAACTTACTCTTAAATGGTTCAGTCAAAAATACTATTACGTGTGTGTGTGTGTGTGTGTGTGTGTGTGTATAACATTAGATAATTGATAGCCAGTTAGATATAGAAAAATAGGGTAAAATGCAAGCAAGGCAAAATGTTAAAAGCTGAACCTAAATAAAGAATTTTAGTATTCAGAAACATTTAACTCCTTTAACTTTTCTGGAGGTTTCAGTTTTACATGCACACATACAAAAAACTTTGAAAAGTACTCTGTGTTAAAATAACTTTTAGGCATGATCTCTCCAAGTACTTACTTTAAACCTAGCAGGTCAAGAAGTAATATGAGCCCTGTCTACAGATGAGGAATCTGAGACTCAGAGGCCAAGGGCTGGAGTTTTCACCCAGATTCTCCACTAGGCAGCTTCTCCACTATTACGTGTGTCCACTAGGCAGCTTCTCCACTAGGCAGCTTCTCCGCTGATTCAAAGCTCAGGACCTTGCTCTCTATAGGGTCCTGATACAATCTCTTAATTGAATCTAAACACCGAACCTTACTTGACCCTCTAGGGCAGCGGTTCTCAACCTGTGGGTCGCGACCCCTTTGGGGGTCGAACAACCCTTCCACAGGGGTCGCCTAAGACCATCGGAAAACACATATATAATTACATATTGTTTTTGTGATTAATCACTATGCTTTAATTATGTTCAATTTGTAACAATGAAAATACATCCTGCATATCAGATATTTACATTACGATTCACAACAGTAGCAAAATTACAGTTATGAAGTAGCAACGAAAATAATGTTATGGTTGGGGGTCACCACAGCATGAGGAATTGTATTAAAGGGTCGCGGCATGAGGAAGGTTGAGAACCGCTGCTCTAGGGTATGTCATCCCTCACTCCTGTCAGGGGCCCCAGAAAGCAGAGCGTGAAGCAGAACGATTCCTCCAGGTCAGGCCTTTGGGTCTTTTCATTGCTGTTCCCTTATCCCAGTCCTCTCCCTCAATGCATGAAGCCACCTCCTTAGAGAGCCTACGCTTCCTAAACGGCTACCATTACTACTCCCTTCACTGTGTGTGTTTCTTCACTCCCTGTAGCACTGCCCGCCAGTCATATCCAGCTCTTATGTGGCCTGAGAGACATTTTGAGCCTAAAGCAACTGGAAGGCAGCTGTGATCCCCTGCGGGGTTTTATCTCCCCCACTAGAAATGTAAGCCTCATGAGAGGAGAGGCTCTATTGCCAGCGCTCGTCACGGTGGCCAGGGCCACAGTTCAAGTGCCAGAGGTATCTGTTGAACGAACGGCTCTCTCCCCGTGTCTGACTCCGTCTCTCAGTGTGGACTCCAGACCCGGTAGGGGAAAGAGGGCACTGGTTCCCTCCACAATGCCATCATGAGAGGAGGTTCACCCAACAAATGTTTACTGAGCATCTACTATATGCCACGTCCTGATCTAGGCACTAGGAACACAGCTGTGATCTAACCAAGACAAGATCCGTTCCTCCAAACAGTAGACACCCTAGTGAGGGAGACACACAATAAATAAGAAATGATGGCCTGTAGTGAATACAAGCCCCCTTCCTTTGAATCTGGGCCTTTCCTAGGAACTTGCTTCCAATGAACAGAATGTGGCGGGAGCAGCACTGAGATCTGACTTTAGGGGAGGCTGCATACGGGTTGCATCAACCACCAGCGTGTCTGGGAGGAAGCTTTCCTGCAACTGAGCAACCTCAGGTGCGAGCCTCCCTGAGCCTAGTCGGGTCTGGGTACTGAGTCATAATAAACGAGAATGGTTTGTTCAACAGAGATAACTGAAAAATGTGTTAGAAAGGAGGATAAAACAAGCAGGAAAGAGGACAGGAAGTGTGAAGGGGAAGGTTTGCAATTTTAGGCGAGCCAGGCAAGGCCTGGTAGATGTCCCCGGAGGACAGGAGGGGGCAGGCTGGTGGCGGCGTTGCTGCTGGGTCCTGGCCCCACTCACCTATGTGGGGCGGCATCACGGCCACGTACTTCAGACCCGAATCCTGCAGCACCTTGTGCATCCGGATGTGGTCATCGGTCACATCCTGTAGTCGTGGGGGCACCTTGGCTGGGTCCCATAGCAGGAAGGCTGGGAGGACACAGGGTAGGGTCAGCTAAGGCAGGACAGCCTGGCCAGGCCCGCAGCCTGCCAGTTTTGTGTCAGGACAAAACCCCGCAGGGGCTCACCGCTGCCTTCCAGTTGCTTCAGGCTCAAAATGTCTCTCTCACAGGCCACATAAGAGCTGACTGCTTCCCACCCCACCTGCTTCTGTCTGCTGTCCTCCCTGCCTCTGCCCTCACAATGGTCCCCGAATGCAGTCAGAAGGGGCCTGTGAACACCCAGAGGGGTTGGAGCTCATCCATGGCTCCATCTCACTCAGGGTAAATGCAAATGCCCATCAGGGCTCACAAGGCCCCATCAGCTCTCTGGCCTCACCACTCTCCCCTTCACTAGCTCTGCTGAGGCCACACTCTGGCCTCATAGCCTTCACAACCGGCCGATCCCTCCGCCCAGAGTCCCGCTGTCTTACCATGCAGCCCTCCCTCACGTCACTTCCCTCTCTGGGAGGCACTGGGGTGAGGAGAGTGGCTGGTGGAGACAAGGCAGCCAGGTCTCACACGCCAGCTCTGCAGCCACAGGCTGTGAACTGGGTAAGCCATGGGCCTCCACTCCCGTAGCGACAAGGGAGACAACAGCCTCTACTTGCTGAGCACCTGCTATGTGCCACCATGAGGGCACTCAGAAGAGTTCTGTGAGGATGAAGTGGCATTCATCTCTAAGGCACTCACATGGTGCCTGGCACACAAGTGCTCAATAAAAGCTACCTGTTAGCATTAACTGCTCCTGTTACGTACCCTGCAGCCTTCAGTTTGGATTCTTTGAGGCAACTGCTTTTTTAATGCCCATCTCCCCATAAATGGAGAGCTCTGTGAAGGTAGAGATGTGATCTGTGTATCCACAGCTCTGTCACTTCCCCTAGAACCCTCCTTAACCTCACCTCAGGCTGTGTTAGGTGCCTCCTCTGGGCTCCCCGCTATCCTGGCCTTGACCTCTCTGTCTGGGTCCCCATCCTGGGTCTGACTTCTCTGCCTTTGCTGCCTCTCCCCAGTCACGACCCTGACAGTTGTGGCCTGTCATTGTTTGATGACCGCTCTGTTTACCACTTTCCTGTCATCTGTGAGATACGTGAGTGTAAGGCCTAGGGCTGTTTTGGTCACCACTATGTCCCTGGCATCTCGCAGCAAGGTTCAGGCACACAACTGGTGCTCAATAAATGCACAGTAACTTGGGATGGCTCCAATGTCACATTGCAAAGGCCTTCGGGCTGCCATTTACTCCCCCCCACCACCCTTCAGCCCCATCCCTGTGACCCCACCACCCACCCGAGGTGCAGGCCACGACCTTGTCCACACCATGGGCCTTCATGGCCGCCACAATGTTCTGGGCACCCTCGGACATCACTGTGGTAGGACCTTAGAGGGGACAGAGTCACGATGACAGCGTCCTGCCCAGCCACAGTCTTGTCCACGTCAGCTGCCTGCCGAACATCGCCCACTACCACGTGGGCTGGCTGGGGCCCCTCCGAAGGCAACCTGGAGGAGTCCCGCACCAGCACTGTCACCTCATAACCTGTGGGCAAAGAAGGGCAGAGAGGCAGGTCAGTAGGCTCTCGGGCTGGCACTCCTGGGCTCCTAGAGGACACCATGAACCCTCCAATGCGTCCTTCTGGTCCCCTGTTCTGAGGCAGGGGCCGCCAAACATTTTTGCTGGCATACCGACAGTTGATATTGAGGTAGTTGTTAAAACTGGGGCCATTCCTTCATGCCGGTTCATAAATAACCTGCACTGATGCCTCCAACGGCGCTCCGGGCCTCTGAGCAGCATGGGAAAGCGGAAAGGCGGCTCCAAGCCAGAACAAAGGCAGAAAGGTGGCTCCAGGCCAGAGAGAAAGTGGTGCCAGCAGCCAGGGGGAGGAAGGCCCATTCTTGCACGAATTTCATGCATCGGGCCTTCTAGTATCCTTATAACATTTTATACACCACCCTTTCTTATCATAGAAATGTGAACAGCCTTGCTTAAGTGAAAGCAACATTTTTGGAATCTACTGCCCTTACATACTATGATAAATGCTTTCCTATTATATTTGTTTAGTAATGGTATAAGAGTCATTT